AGAGTGAAGGCATAAGAAACTGATCTCCTGCAAATCAGACTGCTGCAATGCATTTACCGCCAGAGGCTGTACATAGTCTTACCTCTAGCCTTGGCAAACTGGAAGAGTCTGAACTATCTGAACAAGTACTTAAAGGAGATTTCTATTTTTATATGCACTTTTATCATGCCAGGGAGAATGATCCTATTTTACATGGGCATTGCAGCTTTTTTTTCTATGTAATTCCATTTGGCAAATGCTCTTGTGATCTTTTGCAGGATCATGGTAGAATTAATGTGGACTTTAATGGAGAAGGAAATTCACTCCTATATCTTCCTAGACAGCTCTGATGATTAGGAGTATGAAGGGGAAAAAATAGGAAGTTCTGTTTCTGCATGCACAGCATAGCAAGAAGAAGATTAACTCTTTCTAGTTAGAAGTTAGATTAAGTAGAATAGAGTCTGCATCCAAAAGTATCATAACTTGCTGTTGGTCAGTGTTAACTAGTAGCTGATAGCTTTGCATTGGGAAACAAAAAATGTATGATTTGACCTCTCCAGATGTCAGGACTTAGGATCAGGAAGGAAATCTTTTTTTTGTAAAGTTAACATATTTGCTGCATGCCTTCCTATCTCTGCTCTTCTGAGGGGCAGCAATGAATATACTGGTGATGCTTTTCAGACTGAAGACGTTATATAACTTATCTTTTGGCCTGATCCAGAATGGACCTTTGGATCCCTTTGCAAAGGCCCATCCTCCCTCCAGCTGATAAGCTCAAAATGGTAGTCGGATGAAGTTACTAGTGACCTTGCAGACCCCACAAAGGAGTGAACAAACAGTATATTCACCAGCTAGTACACAGTCTACACTTTAAGACCCTTATTTCAGTAACAGAATCGAATACCATCTTTTCTCACATACACATGCCCTGGAATATAATACACATCTTGTTTTTCAAAGGCAGAATGAAAGAACAAAAGATTTTTCCAGAGCTGTGGTCACATAGAGCAGGTATGTGGCCTAATTTTCAGCTGACTGGCACACCATTTCCTGCTTAGGTAAAGCTGGAACTCTATCTGTTACTGAAGACTGGTCTTCATGGTTGGATCAATGATTCTGAAAACTGCTAAACAATCTCCAGGGCTGTGAAATAGAAGGGGGCAGATCAGGAGCAACTAGCAGATAGCAGAATTGCCCTAAGAAAGGTTAGCCTGATTAGTGGAACATCAAGACCCTTAAAAAGGAGAGAGTCATTAACACTAGGTGTCTGCTTAAATCTACGTAAATTTAGAATGACTAATTTATGCTTACTTTAATAAATATAACCCATTAAGATAGGTGCCTATGCCTTGGCTGCGGGGAGGAGGGATGAGAGGGTGGCCACCATTTTGAGTATAACTGGAGCCAGGCAGAGCAGCTCTTGGCAAGGTGGCTGTCGCCCTTCATGCTGCTGCCCCAGCTGGTGCTCTGCCCCCACTTACCTCCTCTGCCCCTCCCAAAGTGGGCTGCAAGGCCAGGCTGCAGTGGCAGTGAGAGGACCACTGGCTCCCACTGGGGAACCACTATTTTATTTTTATTACATTTTTCATTTTTTTTAAAGTTGGTTTTGCAGACATTTGCATATTTTGTGTGTTCCACAAAATACATGGTATCATGACTTGAGTTAGACCCTTATTTAATACCAGTGGAGTGAAGAGCAATGAACTGTTAAGTCCTCTGGCTGCCTGAATAGTAATGCCACAACTGCTGCACTGTGGAGCAGGAATTAAAGCAGGGTGCTTTTATCCTGGGCAGAAAATCTGCTTCCCCACTGAAGACATGCACCCCAGTTCTGGGAGGGAGTTGAGGGGAAGGTGCATGTCGTATGTGAGAAAATACAGTACTCCAAAAGTGGGAAAGTCCAGATATGTTCGCCTACAGTTTATATGCAATCTTTGATTATATGACCACATGGTTTCCACAAATCCATTAATTCTCTGAGGGGTAGAGGATGGATATGCAAAAGAGAATTGTATTGGCTGCAAATCTGGTATTTGACTTTGAACATTCTTTTAAAAAGTTCTTGGTTTGTCATAGAACAATAGATCTGCCATTGTCTCTTCTAAGGAAATGTAATTTAGTTTGTAATATGCTTGTTTTGTAAGGTGTTGCAGGTTGCAGAATGGCTGTCTAATGTTGCACCAACAATATCATTGCTGGTATTTGTGACAGGCTCAGTATTATTAGCTAAAATCTGTTTTTCCCCAGTGTTCCATCAATGACAGTGCAGACTTCAAAGCAGTATCTGACGCCATGAAAGTAATAGGCTTCAAACAAGAGGAAATTCAGACTGTGTACAAAATTCTGGCTGTTATCCTTCACTTGGTAAGTTCTTTGCTCATGACTTTTAGTAAGCTGCTCTTGAGCTTGTGGCAGGTTGGCCAGGCATTTTTATTTGTACTTCAAGTCAGGTTCTTTTGCACAGAATCTGTTGGGGGGCGGGGGGTGTTGTTTGACTGAAGAAGCCAACTCCTGTATCTGCCAGTGCTAACCTCAAGTTTCCCTGTGAGACGGGCATGACTGCTTTTGGGGATCTTGAGCTTGACAGACACACCAGAACATTCATGTCAGTTTTGTGGGGAATAACATTAAGCTGGAAGCTAGTTTCTAGCATGTTGTGGTGAGCTGAATAGATATGGGAAGTACTACAAATAATCTGTGCACTCTGTATAGTATCAGTTCCAGAACTTGGGCTCTTAGCAGATCAAACTTGTAGGAAACATGTTATGTTCATCTAATGCAGCTAAATATTGAATCAACTTACTTTTTTAGTCATTGATGTGCTGCTGCTTGCTGAAGTTGAGGGAATGGTTTGAACCTGAAGGTCAGCTAGGCTGTAACTCAGCAGTGGGCAAAATACAGCCTGTCAAGGGATTTTATCCAGCCTGTGGCAGATCCCTTGGCCCTGCCTGGCTCAGGTGTAGGGGGCAGCCCGGGTGTGGCATGTGTAGCTGGTTCCACCACCCCCAGGCATGCAGCTGACCGGGGGTGGCACAGTGGCTGGACTCCACTTCCCGGCAGGCCCAACGATGGCAGAGCCACTCGAGAGTTTTAGTGAGCTGTTGTGGGGGTGGGTGGCTGTTGACGCAGTCTGTAAGAGCTCTCTAAAAGTCCCTAAGTGGTCCTCCAGCCCAAATAATTGCCCACCCCTGCCCTAATTCATCAATGGGTAAAGGCATGATTTGTGTTTAATGAGCTGAAAAGCAAATCATTCACAGGAAGCTAAGGTGACACATTCCTACTTTATTTCTCACTATTGGAAAGGCTTGGGGACCAAATCTTCTCTTTGTTACCTGCTACAGGGAAATTTGAAATTTTCAGTGGATGGTGATACACCTGTGATTGAAAACAGTAAGGTTGTGTCAGTCATTGCAGACCTGTTGTCAACAAAATCTGACATGGTGGAGAAGGCCCTGCTTTTTCGGACTGTAGCTACAGGGCGGGATGTCATTGACAAGCAGCACACTGAGCAAGAAGCTTCATATGGCAGGGATGCTTTTGCGAAGGTTAGTATGTTCCCTTTTGGGGGGTTTGTTTTTACATGCAGCTGCTGTACAAATCACTACATTTTGTGGCTCAAGTTTCAACTTTTTTTTTTTTTTTTTAAAGCATCATTATTTTTTATTTTTTAAAGCTTCACCTTTTGGAAGACATCCTTCTGATCCGAGGTGTGCAGTAGCATTTAAATCTTCCCCATGTTGCTTTGCAAGATGCCCAAATCATTTTAACTGTTTGGTTTGAGATTCTGGAAGTCTTTGCTCTACAAGTCCATATTTAGACACGTCAAACAATGAATGGGATCTAGAGATGCCGCAGAAACAGGATTCAGACTGTTGTACCCAGTGTCATGAATTGAGCTGTGAACATTTTAAAAACATGTTATAAAAATAATAGAATCTGTTTTGAAAATGTGTCTGTAGCTGTTTGATTTTAACAGGATTTTAAACCTATATTTAGTGGTAATCTGAAAAACTTGAATTATAGAGTAATATGTCTCAGAGACCTGTAGATGCAACAAAATTGAAAACATGAGAGATGAGAAATTAAATCCAATATTTGTTTCTTTGCAGGCTATATATGAGCGCCTTTTCTGTTGGATTGTGACGCACATCAATGATATAATTGAAGTGAAGAACTATGACACCACGATACATGGGAAAAACACAGTCATTGGAGTCTTGGATATCTATGGCTTTGAGATATTTGACAACAATAGGTGGGTTTCTTGCTTGAGAGGAAATTTGATGCTTCAGCTTTCTTTCAATATGAAACTAAGCAATTCTCTTCTTTTTGCAGTTTTGAACAGTTCTGCATTAATTACTGCAATGAAAAGCTGCAGCAGCTGTTTATTCAGTTGGTTCTGAAACAGGAACAGGAGGAATACCAGCGAGAGGGGATACCATGGAAGCATGTGAGTGAACTGACAGGAGGCGGGGCTCTGTTTAAAGCCTAAGGAGTTATTTCAGTCCTATCCAACTGGTAGCCCACAGGCTGCATGCAGCCCATGAAGGTTTAATGTGCGGGCCCTGGACTTTCACTCAGCTGATGCTTTCCTCGTTGCTCCAGCTGCAATAGCAGCCAGTCTCTAGGCGAGTCTGGGGTCATGCTGAGACCAGCCAGGGATCATGGCTGTGAGTGGGAGTGCGGGGGGATCATGCCCATGGGGTGCAGCTTTAAGCAAGGATTTCACCTATGCAGTGCAATGATAGTGGTGGGAGGGGGAACATCCAGTATAACGGGTAGGGGGTGGGAGTAGGAGGGGAAAAGGCTGTGGGCAGGTGGCTCCTGGGGCTTTATTATTTGAATAGCCCTGAGCTATTGTAAGGCCCAGTCCTGAAGTTTTTCCCCACATCAGCTCCTCTCATCACTTGGACCTTTTTTTTTCCCAAGAGTGGGTCCCTTACCTACAAATGAGACTCAGGAAGAGGTTAAATGAAAATCTATAAAACCATTTTTCTATGCCCCTGGCTTTTGAATCTTGAATAGCTTCTAAAATATTATTTTGGCATCTTGGTACCCCCAGTCATAGGCTGGACAATAGTACTTTGTCTGATTACATCAATAGAAAGCTGTTTTAAAAGTTATGATTTGTTTAACTGACATTAAAAGGGATTTATAGAGTGAGATTTTGATTAGATGATGGCAGTTCAGAACTGTATGGCAGTAACAATCTTGATCCTGTATAAGTTTAAAAAAAATTGGTGGCAAAATGCATTGATTTGTTTCGCAAAAAAATCAGACCACGATAATATACAATAGGATTTTAGGAAAGTAGGGCTGCAAGGGACTTTGTGAGGACATCTAGTCCAGTGTCCTGCTCAAGGTAGAATCATCTGTGACTGAACTGTCCCAGCCAGGTGTCAAACCTGCTCTTGAAAACTTCCAAAGATAGAGATTCCAAAATTTCTTTAGGTAGCCTGTTCCAATGCTTGACCACACTCCTAACCTCCAACCTAAATTTCTCCTTCTTGAAGCTTGGGCCCACTGCTCCTAGTCCTGCCCCTACAGTCATGGATAAAAGCCCATTTCCATCCTCTGTGGAATTGCCCTTCAGTTATTTGAAGACTATTATCAAATTTCCCCTCAGTCTCCACTTCTCCAGACTAAATAACCCTAGTTCTTTCAGCCTTTCTGCATAGGTCTTGCCTCCCAGGACTTTTGAACCAATTATAAAAATTTAATAGGGGGGAACTCCTTAGAGAAATGCTACAGGAAGAATATTATACCTATTGCCCATATTTCTTGGGTAGCTAGAAAGCATTTTCCCTTTGTTCTTGTGTCTTACAATGTGACTGAGACCTGCAAGTGTCCAGAAAAACTGCACGGTAAATTCTGTATGGAGTTCACACTTTTTATCACAAGATCAGTGTTATACCAGTAAGGGAAATTGTCTCAAAATGGCTTTTTGGTGGACTCCCTGGGTAAGTTGCAGACTATACTAGTTTTGTATAGAGCAAGTACTGCAATAATCAGAAATCCATGAAAGATGGAGTGCTGCAGATCTTTCTATTATGTTGATCCACTAATTTTACAATAATAAAACTATTTTGAGCTGCATAGAGAAGAAAAACCAATTACAGAAGTGTATGTGGGATTGCCAAGGGGATTATTTTGATTCTGCCTGGTCCATTAGCCATCAAATTAGCCTGTTCCACTAGTTGTAGTGACTGGATAAATTTGAGCAGTTGAAATAAATGTCTACAGAACTGCTGTATCCTGACAAGAAAATCATTTACTGGACCAACATTTCTTTGTCTCCCCACTGGAATGAATGAGACTTCTGCTGATAGAGCCAAGCAGAGTTAAACCCTCTTTTCAGTTTTGATAATTAGACTTTTGCTTGCTTGAACATAGTCTAAATTCTAGTAGTTGGTATTCTATTTTTGGATTATCTCGACTCTCTTGAAGGATGAAGCTTATGTTACAAGTTGGAAACAAATATTAAAAATATGCTGCTCAGAATAAGAATTATTAATGTGTGTTCTTGCAATCTAGGATGTTTTCAGACAATAGGCTCTCTGTAGAGCACTTTTAGGTTCTGATTCTTAATTATGACTTGTAAAACATCACTGGTCCACAATTGCATATTTTGTCAATCTAGCAATGGTATACTGTGGCAGAAGATGAAAGATAGGGTCTCATGAAATAAATTTTTTTCACTTTGCAGATTTGCTTTGAGAGAGTGGTGGGTACTGAGCTCCTGTATAATGGGTCCAGTAGCTTAAGTTTAGAAAATTGGTATGATGTAATCTTATTTGCATAATTCTGTCTGGTTACTGATCTGTGCATAATACCTGCGCACCTCTACTTCTTTCTCACTCTAGCCAAAACCTATATTTATACTCTGGTGTTCTGCAGATTGATTACTTTAACAACCAAATCATTGTGGACCTGGTGGAGCAGCAGCACAAGGGGATCATTGCCATTCTGGATGATGCCTGCATGAATGTTGGAAAAGTTACGGATGAGATGTTCCTTGAGGCTCTTAATAAGAAACTAGGGAAACATGCTCATTTCTCCAGCAGAAAGGTAACTTGGTGGTACATGCAATCGGAAGCTTATGCCACCTCCCCTCACTTGCTGAACATGGCTTGTTATTTTGACTTAAAGGGAATGGGCTTGAGCAGTGACATGAATGAGCAGTGACATGAACTGGAGGCATTCTGTCATTGTGCTACAAAAACAGAGTTCTCTACTCTAGATTGAGGGCCATCTCATGCATTACACTTAGGACATGTTAATGGCACTTAATGTGAGCGTCTGCACATTCCAGCAGTAAAATGTGCTAAGTGTGCTCATACTGTAGCAAAGTTACAACTGTGGGAGGAATATCTTCACATCATATTAAGTAATGTGTGTAGCTATCATCAAACTGCTCCATGGAAATAATACGAGTTCAAGGTTCTGGCGTGGTATGGGGGCTAGGATCAACAAGCATCTGATTTATCAGTCCTAGCCCCCACACCATACTGCATGCAGTTCAAGATGGCCAGTGGCAGAGACCTGACTCACTCCATGGATTCAGTGACAGGTTGCTGAAACCTCTCCTGGGCTGGGCTCCCTGTGCTGCCTCCTGCCCATTGCTAACAGCAAAGATCTGACTTTGCCCAGCATGCCAGAGGGAGGTGTTTTCCATCTGGGCAGTGTTGGGCATTTGGCGGGGAGGGCATGGGGTTGCATATTCTCATTGGTAGATATGTGCTGAGGGTTAGTTTTGGGGTGAGGGGGAGAGCTCCAGCCTTGTCTAGAGTGGCTTGAGATTGTAGTAAGCATTACTGTATGACTGAACATGTTCCAAGCATGGTAATGCTTAATACTATCTCAGATCAAAACATGTGCCTGTGTCCTGTGACAAGGCCCTTAGTTAATAATGTTATAAAGCTTTGGGTCCAGTAGAGGGAGCTAAAGTATGCTCAATGCCCCAATAATTATTTTAAGGGAAAAGCAGCAGGATCTTAGATCTTGACATATCATGATGTCATTTATAACCAATAGATACCCAGTTTCAGTTCATGTGACTTACCTTCTCAAGCAGTTCTAATACACAGTGGCACTGAAAATGGCCCACACTCTTGCCTTACACAGCTGTATGATTTTTTTTCTCCCTAGCTACAAAATATGCTCATTTAAAATTATAATCTTGTAGGCCCTTTGATTTTTGTCACTTGCTACTATCTAAAAAATGTGGGTGCTGGCCTTATTTGTTTTTGTGAACCACTCAGACTGCATAATGCGATAGTATTTAATCCATGCATCTTTACTGAGACACATTTGTTTGAAATCTGTTGGTTAAAATATTGTTTTTTTTCTACTGTATAGAGCAGGAATAGATTATTAGCATTCTTGTATCAAAAATATGCTATAGACTACCTCCAGAGACTTTGAATTAAAACAACAGAGTTAGATCTGGCTTGTCTGAATGAAATGTGAAGGGGTAAACAATCTTCTTCCAAATTGTAGCATTTTCTTAAATGCATTTAACTTGGAGTATAACCTTTCACCCAGTCTGCCATGGGGATTTTTGGTAAACAGTGTTTTCACTTTTACAGGATTATTCTGCAGTTAAGGTCAGGGTTCATGTTATGAATACATCATGTTAGATTAAACAACTGGTGAGCTTCCTCAATGTGCCATTATTTCTACCACGCATAGTTGGGGCCCACGATTTTGGAAGACATTCTTTCCTTTGCTAGTGCTAATATTTGTGAATGAGTACAATCCTAAGGCTGTGACAAAATCATCAGCAAAGCTAACCGCACATCAGCTAAGCACAGATGCATGACAAATAGAACCAAGGAGGTGATACTTCCCCTCTATGCAGCATTGGTCAGACCACAGTTGGAGTACTGCGTCCAGTTTTGGGCACTGTACTTTAAGAAGGATGTGGATAGCTTTGAGAGGGTCCAGAGGAGGGCCACTCGTATGGTTAAGGGTTTACAGGCCAACAGGTCTCTCTGTGAGGAGAGACTAAGGGACCTGGACCTCTTCAGCCTCTGCAAGAAAAGGCTGGGAGGTGATCCTGTGACTGCCTATAAATTCATCAGGGGCGTGCAGCAAGGTATCAAAGATGCTCTGTTCACCAGGGTGCCTCTTGGGGTAACAAGGAACAATGGTCACAAACTGACAGAGCAAATTTAGGCTAGACATCAGAAATAACTTCTTTATGGTGAGGGTGGCCAAAATTTGGAACGGGCCTCCAAGGGAGGTGGTGCTTTCCCCTACCTTGGGGGTCTTTAAGAGAAGGCTGGATAGGCATCTGGCTGGGGTCATCCAACTCCAACACTCTTTCCTGCCCAGGTCGGACTTGATGATCTGTTAAGGTTCCTTCCGACTCTGATATCTATGAAACATTATCTTTAAAATTGGTATAGTCTGGGCAACAACTTTCCAGTGCTATCCTGCCAGTCAACTTTAAACTCTGAGGTAGAGTTCAGTTTCCATTTAAACTTTAATTTCAGAGATGAGACCAATTTGCAAGTGCTAACCAATAAAGGAGATAGCTGTTCCTGCTCTGCATCCTTCACTATGCTGGTGTCCAGGAAATGAGTTTGCCAAACAACCAGGGAGGTTATAAAAGGGGTTATGAGGGAGATTATAAAAGGAAAAGACAATTGATTGAACTCGGAGGTGTAGTGAATTCATTTAATGCCAGAGGCAGGGGTGGAAGTGGGGAGATTGGGAAACATTACCTGCCTGGCACTCTACATGGGGAATGCTGCTGCTGCAGCCAATGTAACCTTTCCTATACAGAAAGCCAGGGCAGGAGAGGGAGGTGTGGGGAGACCAGCTGTGAGAATGTAGCCCTCTGGGAGATACAGTTTCACTTGTCCCCCACCCCTCAGGTTCATTGCTGGGAGTGGGGCCACTCCTGTAGTAAGGCAGCACAGGGCTACCCTTGCCATGGTAAAGACACCCAGAGGGGAAGATTCTGGCATCCTTTCATAGTTAGCACCCAGGCCTGGTGCCATACTCACTGTACTGTAGTTATGCTGCTGATTAACCTGCTGTTTTTAGGAGTTGTCTTTTCATTGCATAGGAAACATTCAGAAATCTGGCCAGTTATGGTATTCTTCAGTAAAGGGTGGCATTATTAGGAAACTATTAGCATAGACTGAAGGAATACCACTATTAAAAATGAACTTTCTAGGGGGAGGGATGCATCCGCCTTGCATGTAGGTAGGTACACTAACTCTAGTGGGGAGGAACAATTTCAGCTAGCCTAAAAGGATATTACTTTGGATATCTTGACCCCCAAAACATCAGTGGCTTGCTCAGATTCTTTCTGCCATGTGAGTATCTAACACCCTTGTAAGTATCACGTTTCTAACTAAAACCTAAAGTAACTCGATGCCTTCTCTTTCTGGTAGTTACCACCCCCATAAAAGTAAGACTTTCAGTCTTTTTTAGGGTTAAGTTAAAGTATTGATCTGGTGCACAGTTGGCTTGTGAACTCATGTTAGTTTGTTGGGTACCTTTATGTCTTAACTTAAAATACTGTGTAAATTAAAGATATTGGGAGGGAGATATTTCCAAAGAGTTAAAATATATGTGTTAATATGTTATGGGAATAGCTTCTATCTTCCAGCTGAATAGTTAATGCTTCACTGCTTTCCTGTGCAGTATGTTGCACTCTGCATCAGTGTAGATAAGCTCTAAGGGGTTGCTATGCCCTAAATAATAGTGTCCTAGTTTGTGTACTGTATTCCTGATCATCTGCTCCTTGCTCGGTTGTCTTGGTTATTGTGGTGAAACCCAGACATACCATGAAAAAGACTGGCAAAGGTTTTTACTGTCTTAATAAATATTGAGATGGCAAAATTATATTCCTAAAGCAAGAAAGCCACTTAAAAAACCTATCTGTTTCTCTGAATCATCTAATAACATGGTTCTGTACATTTATTAACTATTCTTCACAACACCCCTTTGATATAAATAGCAGATTATTCTCAACAAGGAAAGGCTTTAGATTCTAATATTTGTAACTGATCTTGGTCAAGTGCACAGATGATGTACCTTAAACAAATTCCTAAGGCTTTCAGTATTGGGGAAACTGTCACAGGTGAAGTGATTTATCCATGATCAGTGCAAGTTGGTAGAGTTGGTATTAAACCTGCCACAATATTTTCTGTCCCACCCCGCCCCCCATCTACATTTTTATTAATTGCAGATGCACCTTTGTGTTTAGAACTAAGCAGATGTTGTATGCTTTGATGTAAATGTTCTAAATTTTACATGTACTATCTGATCTAAGGCGATTAAAACATGGTACTAGTACATTCAGATAACTTGAGCTAGGAATCCTTAAATGTTGCAATTCTTAGCATGAATATTCATAACACATGATAATGCTTAGAGTTAACCAGCTGAGCAGCTTGTGGTGCTGCCATGGTCCTACCAGTCTAGGGCAGGGAAATTCAGAGGTGAAATATATTTTGTTACCTAGGAGAAATGGGTGCTGCTTAACATCTGTCAGACCATGAAGTTTCAGTAGCACTTGTCTGAGAGGTAGCAGTTTGCTTTTGAACGTGATGGGTACTTTGAAGACAAGATATCAAGCAAAATGTAGGCTATGAATTGAGAGAGCCTTAGAAAGAAATACTGCTCTGCTCTGTAAGCCTGTAGTTAGTTAGACATTTCTCAGGCTTTTTTTTTTTTTTTTTTTTTTGGCCAGATCTCACTGCCTAAATATTTCTGCTGGCAGATACTTCTAGACTTGCTGGGTCCAAAAAAGCTAACACAATGCTTTTGAAATAGAAAGAAAAGACATAAGTCCAAATAAAGGTTTGAGATGCATCTGACTGGGTTCCTCTCAAAGCTTTTCCAAAAAGAGCCTATTGGCAAATGAAACCACTCTGCCATATTAAGGCATGATTCTGTTGCAGTTCTCTTGTCCTGAGTGGAGTATGGCTACTGAAGGTCCAGCCCTACCTATGTGTTAGAAATGAGCGCTTGTCAGTTCCTATGCTAATTTCACATTTTATAGGAAAGCCCCTAATGTAGTTGCATTATTTCTTTTAGATCCTAGTGACTCCTGTTTTGGCTTTTTGGATCCATCTTATAGCATGGGAATTTAACATACCATGTTTTCTTGCATATAGCACATCTTTCCTCCCCAAAATTGGGAATGCTTATCTTTAGTAGTTAGCTGATTTTTCTGCCTGGGATAGAGCTACCCTGTGTTGATTCCTTCTCCACAGTGTAGCAGCTGTGGTACTACTATTCAAGCAGCTGAGGGAGTCTGCTGAATTAACGGCTCATTGTTCTTTACTCTGTGAGTGTTAATGACAGTCTCTCCTTTTTAATGATCTTGGTTTCATTAATCAAGCTAATGTTTCTTAAGGCAATTTTGCTGTCTACTAGCTACTTCTGGTCTCTCCTCTTATTCTGCAGCTTAAGTGGGAAAGTGTGGGTGAGTCAGTTGAATATTAGGCTCAGTCCCTTCTCTGTGCAACCATAACTTTGGAAAAATCAGGTTTTTTTTCATTCTACCTTTCAAAACCAAGATGTGCATTATATTCCAGGGTGTGTTGTACAGAAGAAAATATGGTAATATAGAACATTCCTAAATGTGGCAACAGGAAAATGGTTCTAGTTCTGTCCACACTGTGGGGGTAAATCACTGACCTGTGAAAGCTCTAGCTTACTTTGTATGTTGTGGTAGGACAGAATGACTGATGCTTCTTAAATAAGTTCGTCATCCAACATTAATGATACCACACTAGGTGCCTGTGAAGAAGGTTATAATGCCCTGGAAGAATAAAAAGTGGGAACAGCGAGAACTCCAAAGCACATCAGTTCTGTATCTATGCAAATATGCTTTTTAATAAAAGTAGTTTGGAGATGTTAGGACTTAATCTAAAAAATCTGTTTTTTGAATCTTGGTTTATTTTTATATACATGTATTATTTATACCTTATTTACTTTATTCAGATTTTTTTGAAGATAGTGTTGCAAAGGAGTGGGATTTTTGCACTAGAATATGTCTCTGTAGGCAGAGCTATAAATGCATGCAATTTTACAGTTTTAGTTTCTTTGCAATATATGGGGGGGAGGGGAGGAGGAAAAAACAGAGAGCTTTTCTGTCCTGAAGTTTGTGGAATTTCAATTATTACATTTTAATGCCTTCATTTTAACAATGTGCAAAATTATTTTAGCTTTGTGCGACAGACAAAATCCTGGAGTTCGATAGAGACTTTCGGATTAAGCACTACGCTGGAGATGTTATGTGAGTTTCTGGAATAAAGTTGCACCTTCTATTTTCTTACTTGGCTTTTTAAGCTATAATATTCAGGTTGTTGTGTACCTTAGAATATGGTCCCTTTCCTGGGATTTAAATTCCCACTGAGCTGCTGGGAGGTGCCTGTGTCATGTTGGGATTCACAGGGCGTGGGGATACTCCTCTCAATTATTGTGGTGGTGGTGTTAATACCCCCACTTTTTTTTATATAACATTGTTCCTCTAGGATGTGGGAGACTAGGTTTTGAACTCAAATTTCTTGCCTCCCAAGTGTGACCTTAGCCCCTGACTATAGGCTGTTCTGGAGTGGAGCAACTCTCTACCATTCCTGTTGATGCTGGGTCACTCTGAAGCAAAACCTTGAGATTCATTGGGCTAGGGAAGAGTAGGACTGTCGAGCCCATCAGTTAGAGCACTCAACTGAGTTATGGCCTCATCTGCCAGAACTGCTTTTGAATTTAATATGCCAGAAACAATAATTGGATAAATCAAGGGTGCTCAACCTCTAGCCCATGGGCCAAATGCAGCCTTGGCATCCAGCCGACAGGGCTTCCTCCTGGGTCGGGAAACTTGGTGGCAGGGAAGCCGTGGCCATTTAATATAGCATCCCTCCCTGTCCTGCCCTGCCAAATTCCCAAACTCCAAGGTGCATATTGCTCATCAGAACCAGGCTGCATCCCCTTCTCCCTGTGTGACCTGGGCTACAGAGTCTCTGCCCCTCTTGCCCTCCCCACACATCTGGATCAGGGCTGAGCCATGGGGCACCATCCATCTGGCCTGCGCAAGGAAAAGGTTGAGCACCACTGGGATAAATCCACTTGATAATCCTGAATTCTTTCCTGCACAGTGACCCAGCTTCCACAGGAATGGTGAATCATGCCTCCACTCAAAAACAGCTTATAGCTAGTTGGTTAGGACACTCTTGGGAGGTGAGATAAGGGTTTTGGACTTCTTCAGACTGAGGGAGATAAAACATATCTCCCTCATTCTTGGTGAGCGCTTTAATCATGGAGCTCTGGTATAAAAGGGGGAGAAATCCCCCTTTCTTTCTCCGGTCGTGTTTTTGAATGTAAGTTTCTGTGGCTGCTGTGTTTTCTGCAGAGCTCAATCCTGTGGATACTAGGTCCATCAGATAGGGGTCCTTAAGGGACTTGGGGAGAGAAATTCTTAGTTTGCAGTTCCTGATTGGGCTTAGATATGAGTGCCAAATTATTCAGTTCTGGGCATGTGCAAAAACAGAACTTGTAGAGCCTTGGAAACTGTACTCAAGAAAACTTTGATGCATAAGGTGTTTTGAGGTGCACTTTTAGATTTGGACCCCATCCAACTGTTTCTCATCTGTAGACTTCAGAGTTCATTCTTGGGTTAGGTAAGTGTTACTCCATTTCACAGGGAGAAAATAGGTACAGAACTTAAGTGATTTGCCTAGTTTTTGCACAGCTAATTAGTGATAGATATGATGGTATAGATTCTTTCTTGTTGCCTAGTCCCATCTCTTTTAAATCTGGTGGTGGTGCACAGATGTTCTGCTCATAGTTGGCTTTGCTCTTGTTTGACTGCTGTGCAACTTACTTTTTTTCTTTTGCTAGTTACTCAGTCACTGGATTTATTGACAAAAACAAGGACACTTTATTCCAAGACTTCAAACGCCTAATGTATAACAGGTAAGGATATTTTAATCAGACAGGCTGTTTTGTAGACTGTGCTGTAACAAGATACTGTTATAATCCAGTTAATAGTTTTGTTGGCTAGAAGGAATTATTATGGTTCTCTCATCTGAGCTTGTGCATAACACAAACCAGAGAATTTCAGAGAAAAACTTCTGTATTAAGCCCATAATTTTCTGGTTGAGTTTAGAGCAAAACTCTTTTTTTAAATGATTTTTTCAATATTTGTTTTAAGCATTTCAAGTGGTGAAAAGATCTCACTTCTCCAGAAGTAAGTTGTTTCAGTGGAAGAATTTGCACCTTATTTCTAATTTTGAATTTATCTATCTTCACTTTCTAGCCATTGAATCTTGCATCTTTTGATGCCATTGAATCTTGCTATTTAAAGTCTTTTTGATAGGAAATCTTTTGCTATGGAGGTACTTAGAAACTACAATCAAGTCGCATCCTGATCTTCTCCTAGATGAACTAATAATGAGTTTATCTTTTTGTAGGACAGGCTTCTTAGACACTAAATCATTCTTGTAGATTTTTTTTTCTTGAAATCGATCTAGTTTATGAATATCCTTTTTTTTTCTTCTGTTGTGTAGACAACTAAACAGGTCAAACTCCTCTTTTCAGTAATAGTCTCACTAATAGTGTATATGAAGGTAATAACATCTTACATCTGTGTTCCCTACATAGGCAGCCAAGGATTGTGTTAGCCTATCTTAGCCAGTGCATTGCACTAGGTCATAGGTGATGCATCAGGGAGGCATGGGTAGCACGTCCGTCCTCCCCCAGATTTCTGCACTGACAGTGAGGTGTGGGGTACAGGGCTGCAACCTGGCCAGCGATAGGCCCCAGCAGCAGTGTGGGGTGGTGGCAGTAGTGTGATTTCTGAGCCAACAGTGGAGCATGGGGCTGCAGCTCAGCCAGACCCAATGCCTAGTGGTGGCAGCAGAGCAGTGGTGCAGAGTTGTGCCAGCGCTGTCAGTACTTGCTCGTTGCCTATGCATTAGGAGCTCCCATTCAGTTGTTCATCTATCATGACCCAAAATCCATTTCAGAGTAGCTGTTCTCCAGGTTATGGCCCTACTTTGTGACACGTATGGTCTGTTGTTTTTGATATTCTTTCATTTGACTCTGTTTAAAAATGCACTTTTGACCCCCACTTGCCATGGGATTAATACCTTTGTATAGCTGACCTGTCCCTTACCCCACTCTTTGGAATACGAACAAGTTTAACAGTAGTAATTTTCTTTTCTTTTGGCTTATGATAAAGACATTTAATAGCATTGGACCAAGAGCAGAAGCACAAGGAACACTGCTAGAATCATACCTGTTGGTTGAAGGATTCTCAATTTTTTTATAACTTTTTTTTCTGGAAACTGCCAGTTAGCAGTTTCCATTCATTTAATATGCGCTCCACTTCTTTCTCTAGAGAGTCATCATTTTAATTATGCTATTTCAACAGTATTGTATGGCAAGTTAACTTTGCCAACAAAGCTTGAAATCCTACCAAACCTGATACCATCTTGTTTTACAAAACCACTTTTCCATAAAAACATGGTAATGTAATTAATTTTTCTCTAATATTTTATGCTTGTATCCTGTATTTCTGCGCCTTTGCCCAGGATCTGTGTGTGGCTACTTTCCCTATAGGTACTCTGATCATTCTGTTTTTCTCTTTTAAATACTGGTACAACATTAGCTTTTTTCCTAGGCCTTTGCAACTTCTCCAGTGGTCTAAGGTTTAAATATCTACATCAGTAGCTTAAAACTCAACTGGAACCATGCAGCTAAGAAATTGGTAGATATCAAGGTTTAATTGCAGTAGTTTAACTGCCTTCTTATTAACTTGTTATTACTATAATATCTGGTTTCTTTCCATATACAGACAAGAACTATATTTGGAACATTTCTAACATATGAGTTGCATGAGTTCCCCCACGGTGTGTTAGAAATGTGTCAAAACTGATATAACTATACCTAAATGAGCATTTCTAATTTTTTTGTCCAGATTTGTAGTATCAATATGGTAGCAACTAAAGATTTTTTTCCTCTCTCCTTTTGACATCTTGGCTTTTCCCCTTTATGATGCTTTGAGTTTGTGTATGCTTATTCTTATTTTCTCCTTGACACACTCTCCTTTTTATTGAATGGCCACATGACTTGCTAGTCTGTCACTGAAACTATCACTTCTCCGACTACTGAGATAGAAGCTGTCCAAACTACACAGCCCCTTCTCAAGGGCCCATTGTTCCATACACTCTGACCTTCCATTTACCTTGTCAAGCAGTTAACCTTCATTATCTTGTCTGTCACTTCTTTGTGAGGGAGAAAAGAGCTTAAAAGACTACCTGTACTACCTTCAGTAGTGTCCACTGATGGATCAGCTGTGTAGTTATGTTGAAGCTGTGCCTTTAACAGTGACTTTTTTTGTACTGTTCAGAAAATGCAAGCCAAAATTTAAAAATGGCATTTATGTATACATTTGGTTTTTATTTCTATCAGAAATATAACTTGGGTTAAATTACACGCTGAAATACAGTGGGGAATAATGCTACATTTTAAAGGGAGGTGTTTGTGATTTATATTAACTTAACCCTTCTGACTCCACAGTCTATGAATCTATGAAACTGCGCCCCCCCAAATCCCTTTTATACATATATCTACCCTGTCTAAACTGATGACTGGTTTTGATAGATTACTTCTCTGCTAAATTTACTTTACCATTACTGTAGATTAACTTTCAGCATGGAGAATATTGTCTCTTCCAGCATATTCAAAAAGTAACATTGCATTTTAACTAGAGTTTCTCCAGACCAAACCATGGTATTTCCTTAGCTAGTATGCTAGTCAAACTGGAATCATTTGCTGGATCTCACCCAGAAGTTAGTTGTTTGATTTAGATTAAAATGGATCATCATCACTCAGATGTCTACTTCCTCTGTCTTATAGTTCCAATCCTGTGTTGAAGATGATGTGGCCTGAAGGTAAACTGAGCATCACAGAGGTAACCAAACGACCCTTGACTGCTGCTACCCTTTTTAAGAACTCCATGATTGCACTAGTAGACAACCTGGCATCTAAGGTAATTATTCTACCCTGTCAAAACCAACTTTAATTTAATTAGTGATGCATTTTTCTCTGCAGTGGGGATACATTCTTTTCCTCGATTTATTAAATTTGCTCTGTTCCAAAATGAGCAATATTAGAGTTTTTTTCCTTTAAGTGAAGTTCCATTTCTAAGGCTACAAGTCTTACATTGAGAAAATGATTTCTTCCCCCCGCCCCAATCAGTGTAACTTTTTATTTGTGGATGAAGCTGGGATAGTTATTCAACTGAGATAAGCAGTGTGTTGCACCAAGAAAATACTCTTAACTTGTATAGAGCTCTCAAAGGTGATGAGCTTAATGCTGGCAAGTATTTTCTTTGTGTGCCTCTCCTGACAAGAGGTGACTTGTCTTCCTTATTTTGATTCTATACTTATGTGACATTTTTCTCTTAATGATAGGAGAGAGATTAAAAATTCTTCCTCTTTCTATGCAAGTAAGTAGGCTTATTATAGAAAGGTACTTAGCTTGAGAAGTGTACCCTTAAGTTAGGAGAGAGTTGTTGGGTTTGTTTGTTTTTTAAGGATAGCGGCTCAATTCAAAATGAGGATGCTAGAGAACAGCACACTCGAGCAACAATACTATGCCGATTTGCTTGGGTAGCGGAGTACTTTAGAAATGTTTAGGTGTCTAGTAATTATTGCTGTTGAGTACCTTGGTTAGAATTAGAGAGAGATTCTTTTTTTTGTGGGGGTGAGGAGGCTGGAGAAATATTGAAGGGTGAGAAGGTGGACAAGTAACCTTGAAAGCTGTTAATATTCATCACACACTTATAATTAAGCAATAACAGCTAAGATTCCAAATATTTTTTTTCTGCTGATGAATGACCCACGGTGCATGGGGAGACATAAACACTCAAGTGGTGTTCACTGTGAGAAATGTATTGTTCTAAAGTAGTCATTACTGTAATACGTTTAAGAATGCTATTTTTATTTTTGTCTCCAGTGGCATCCCCATCACTGTATCCAAGTTAGTGTATTTTCTTTCCCCCTCCCCGCCTGCCTCCACCCAGCCCCGAATTTTCACAGCTGCACTGGTCTAAATATGGTTGTATTGTAAATGACAAAGGACAAGGGAAAACCAGAGTGGAACAACGTGTACACTAATGATATTTTAGGCAGTTGTATTTTAGAGGATAACTTACACTAGAAGGATTGGATGACTCATGAATTCACAGTAGGGATGGAATTTTTAATTTCTAGTTTGTCCCTTGAAATATATCTCAAGTCAATTATGGCAAATGTGTTGCCATTTGAAGCCTAGCTGGCATGCCTGAAATGAATTAATAGTTTCAGTCCAGTTCAGATCATGCACATTTCTATCTCAGTTGGCAATCTTTGACTGGTTCACCAGAACAGTTAGATCAAATAGACCAGGAAGAGGAGACCTGTTCTATCATTAGGTTCTGGTGGGGTACCATATGGAAGCTTGCCCTGTCTCTGCTTATGCTTGCACTTATCTGACATCGGGCCTTCAGTTTTCAGGTCTATATGACACCATTCCCTGGTGCTAACTTGCTTAGTTTTAAATTTGAATTATAACCTGTCTTTTGGAACATATTTCTGGCAGGCTTTTTCCAGGCCATCAAATCCAGTCTCCTGTATTTGCTGGCAACTGTTACCCAAAGTTTTCCAGAAACTTAATATCACTTCAAACCCTCACATACCAGTAAAGGCACAAAACTATAAGTACCAGGGGAGATGGGCACTAAAGGCACAAACTAAAAGAGGAGAAAAGGACACTGCCAGTCCCTTTCCACTGTAGTGGGAGAAAAGTTGATTAATATGCTCAGAGGAACCCAGGAAGAGAATCATGCCATCTGCTGCAGAGGAAAGCAAAAAACCACTGTGATCCTTGCCAATATCACCTAGGGGGAACAAAATTCTTCCTGACCTCTAACTTCATGACCAGTTACTTCCTCAGTGGAAGAGCAAGATCCATTAGTCAAGAACCTTTGAGTTTTCTAAGTGATGTTAGCATCATCACATCCCAGTCAATCCTCCCTCCACCTGGTGCCTAGTGTTTCAGAAGAAGCTGAAAAGAAAAAAACCAGTAGCATTTATGAAAGGGGGTGAAGGACCTTCCTGGTCCTGGCAGGTGACCAGCAAAAGCACTGAAGTATGGGGCTTTTTAGGTATTGTTTGCACTGCAAAACTGTACCTCTATATACCAGCAGCAGACAAGTCATATACCAGTAAATAAAGAGAACCATGAGGGAAGAAGAGGGACTGCTGTATGCTGAAGATGGAGAGGAGATTTAAGGACAACCCTGTGATATCGCTCAACTGAATAAATATTTTTGCTCAGCCTTCAGTAAGGATTAAAGATGTAGCTGAGGACAATGTGTGGGTACCTCATGGCAATGAATACACATAGATGTTAGCACAAGACATACAGATGTTAGCACATCTAGTCTGGAAGCAAACTTTAGCTCTGCTTGCTGTCATAAAATCAAAAGGCCCAGATAATCTCCTATCTAGAATATAGGAAGAATTGGCACATAAAATAGCAATGCCTTTACTATGGATCTTCAGTGAATCTGTCAACTCAGGGACAGTACTTTACAACTGGAGTATAGGAAATTTAGTGCCTATTTTAAAAAGGTAGTGAAAAAGTGAGGCTGTTATTCTTATAAGCTTGTCTTTCTCAACAAGTCTCAGAGGCACCACCCTGATCTGCCGTTTGGCTTTCCCACAGATGTTCTTCCTCTTGCTTGGGCTGTGTAGGCTCCAAATAGTTAAGGAGATGAATGGGATTTGAGAGCTAAAGGATAGAGATAGAAGTGGCATGGAATTATATTAAGGCAAAAGTACAAATACTAATTGTCTTAGTTTCTCAAAGTTAGCCTTTCTGAAGTCCAAGAACCTAGTTATGGGCCTATTTTTTGTCTATCTTGCAGTTTACACATAACCATAAATTAGTTCTCAAATACTTTATAAAGTTAAGAATCCTATTCAAAGGAAGTTTCTTAAAACTAAGGTAAGATTAAAACCAAAGTATGCACTGGGAGTAGAATTGGACAGAAAACTTCACTGTTTAGTTTATGCACATGAGCAATCCACAGAAATGGATTTTAATCAGATGATGAGAAAAATCTTCAGATATCACAAAGCTAGTTTGTGTACATGGAACTTTTTTTTGGGGGGGGGGGGGGGGGGGGGGAGTGAGAGAGACCTGTGAGCACCAGTTGTGGTGAAGATTATAAGCTTTGTTACTTTGGTCAAACTGTCCGTTTCTCACCCTGAAACCTGAGCAAGAATGTAATTAGACTATTCTTGGAAAGTGTTTTCATCTCCTTCCGAGCAGCAGTAAAGTACAAAACAATCAACTAAGGAAATGGATACAAAGAACTGAGGTACATTCATGTTCCTGTTAGGTGACTGCTCTGAATCCATGCAAAGGTTTCCCAATAGACCAATTTGCACTAAAACATTGTACATATGCTATTCCAAATAATAAATGTTATATATTTGTAGAAGATGGATATAATAATAAACTAAAGATCTTAAAAAAGAAAAGGTAATTGGAAAACAGGCTTTTGAAGATGAAACTAAACTAGTTATAATATCTTTTTTTAAAGTGAAAATTACAGGTTACATGTTTAAGGTATATTTGGATATGGTCACTTAAAAATTGACAATTTTCTTTAAACTGAAATACAGCGGAAGGGAAGAGGGCACCTCAGGAACTTGTAGTCAGTCCCACGAGGGCTGCTTGCTATTCAACATGGGGAAAGGCTCTTGTGCAGGATCATGATATATTTGACCAGCTCTTTTTTTCAGATGGAGAGAGCCAGAGTCTACTTGCACTAATGTTTGAGGCTCAAACTCATTGGTACTTAGAATTGTCAAAATGCCTCATTAAGAAATTGGATTTTAACTGTTGAGGGTGTAACAGTCTATCTGTGTAACTCCTCATTTTTACTGGTGAGGGGGTAAGGGCTGTCGTGCATGTCAGTGAGTAAGAAAGACCCCCTAAAAAGCTAATTAAGATAATTTTTATTATAATCTTTCCATCTTAATCCCTCCAAGCTGTTGTTTTGCAGGTGGAGAGGAGGTTGTTCTGGGGTTTCTCGTGGTAGTAAGATAAACTTAATGAATTTTCTGCTGGTGATGTACAGCTCTTGTGGGTACAAGAGACATTTCATCTTGCTTGCTTTTTCCCTGGATAATAGAGAGTCTGTAATGCAGTTGTACACTGCTTAGCAATCTCTGATCATGGGGCTTTTAAATGGAAGTGCCTAAGTCACTGATGATGCCCAAAACTCAAGTGTTGGTCTGCTCCATGATTCAGCTCCAGTTTGAATGCCTGCATTTTAACCCCACCTACTTGCTACATTTCTATTACACTTCTGTGATATCTGAACAGAGCTGCCATCCATGAAATCCTCCTCCTACTCCTCTGCTGCTGGTTTGCCAAGAGCAGACACCAGCCTTCTGGTAAAGCTGTAGTAGAATAGCAATAAAACCTGTAATTTGGGGAAACGTCCCCAAAATGACACTTACGTTTAGTGGACAGGAAAAGAATGAGGCGGAGAAGTCGGAGAGTTCTCTATGAATCGTGTTGTAGTTTGTCATTAAGGAATTCAGTCTACAAGTTTCTTCATGCCAAATGCTGTTTGCTTTTGCCTTCTAAACTGTCTGTGTTTAATGAGTAACTCCATTTTGAAGTTATTTATGTAAAGTATTGTTCTCGTGCCACTGCCAGACAGCAGCTCCTTGCTAGGTGGGAGAACATCTTGCAAACAAATTCACTGAGCATTCAGTTTAATACACTGCCAAGGACCAATTGATATCACAGCAAACTAGCCAGTACAGCACAATTTTGGGTGCAGTTACATGGGTTTTGGCATGGATCAGCTGCATAATGGGGCGGGGGTGGGATGTTTTAATTTGGATATGGGTGTGGACTAACTTTTACAGTGAAGTGTGTGTAAGATACCTCTTTTTGTGTTGGGCTTTGCCATGGGAAAATTAA